ACCCCTCGCTACGACGGGGTAGGATCGGACCCCTCGCTACGACGGGGTAGGATCGGACCCCTCGCTACGGCGCGGTAGGATCGGACCCCTCGCTAGGCTCAGATACCAGCTACCTTGTCTGATGCTGGTACCTGTGTAGATGTGAAGCTAATACTCAGTCAAGAGGAAAGACAGACGTCGTCTTGGCTATTCTGCTAGACGCTTCCCTGATGACCTGGTTTACATTCCTGCTCCTCTCTAGCCCTCAAGCTCGCTGAACCAGAGAGCAGAGAGGCTGTCTGCCAGCTGTGAAGTCAGCCTGTCGATAGCGGAAAGCCTGCGGTGGTCTCTCCGTGCCTCTAAGCGTGGATGCCTCCCTCACGAGCTAAATCACCTCTGTTTTATATCCAGACTCATTTAAAGGGGCCATAGAAACGGCAAGCAGTGCAGCTCTGTGCTGATTGGCTCCCACCTTACACAAGGGCCAATGGAGAGCCAGCTGTGATGTCAATGACTGTGGGAAGGAGTCCAGGTGACTCAATTGATGGGATTACGACTGTAGTTTAGCACCTCCAAGAGTCGGTCAATCATCTCCCTCCATCTCTCTCTACACACACACACACACACACACACACACACACACAGACCTGCCTATTGTGACAGGCCTGAGTTACACCATTTGACGTGAAGAGGGGGCAGATAGACGGTTGTTATAATGAGGAGCAGACTAGGTTCAAGTTTATGCTTAATTTTTGATGCATTTGGTAATGAGTTGCTTTTTAAAAATCAGGACTGTGTCCCTTCTGTTCTGCAAAGTCGACGTGACAGTCCCTTGTCAGTAATGATCATATTGCTGCTGGTGTGGTAATTTCAGCCGATTTTTGTCTAACGTTGCCGATACTGATAACCAGCTAATCTCTGAACCCCTTGTTGAGTGGGGGGTTGGGGGTGTGGGGGGGGCAGAGGGCACAGGTTTGTCGGTGATGAAACTTGCTGTGATTGCCGACGCAGATTCGCAGACTGACGTTACATGTTTTTTTTTTGTTCTGTGGAAAATGAAAGATCGATCTGCGGGGTCCTGATTTAATAATGAATTATAAACGTGTCACGGGCCGGTAATTATAGACCTGTTATATGTGCAGATTGAGCTGACAAAGTCCCTTGTTCTCCACTGAGGAACGTGACCGATCATCTGGTGCCACCATCTCCATTATCACTGCAGTTGTACCTTCACCTTTGATGGTGCTCACTTTGAATATCGATAAGGTTTAAAAAGTGGCCGGTAGTGTTAGCATGTTAACTGATATATCGTGCATCTCTACATATTGTTCATTCCTTTTTTATAAAGGCAATATGTAATGCAAATTAATGGTAAAGAGTGAAACATATTGCTGCAGAATGGGGCCAGTCCAGGGTGTTCTGGTGCGAGATTCTGCTGATCGCGCCCCGACGTTTTCGTCAGTTCATTTACATTAAAAACATTTCAGTAGTACTGTGTATATGGCTGTATATACTAGCCAGCTTGCCTCTGTTTCACAAGTACTGAAATAAAAATTTAGTGTAAATAACTGTAATGTCAGTTTAAATACTGACTCGTGGTCTGAGTCCTTTGCTCATCATCTTTTGATTTTTTCCACTCGCTCTTTTCCGCCCCTAATCTCAAGAATAGTGAGATTCTCAGTAGAATAAAAACTGGGATTCACATTTTACCCAGAATCCTGCAGCCCTGCCACTCTTCTTACATTTCAGTTGCAGAGATAACCAGGCAAAACAACCATATATGTATCGTTTTCCAAATAATAACAAATCTAAATGGCAGGAGTATGCAGAGCATGCACAGGCGTGCAGCGCCAGGAACCGCTGGCAGGACACGCACCCAAACCCAATTAGCGCCAATTAGCGTATAGCCTCATTAAATAAATGACGGTCTTTAAGCTGCTGGGCTGAATTAGAAAACTGAGGCAAACTTGATTGCATCAAGTCCCTTCAGACTCACCCTCAGCACTAATAATGCCTCAACAAAATCACTCACAGAATGTGAACAGATGGACCATGTCGCTTCATCCCACTAGATGTCATTAGAAGGAACTTGTCTTGTTACGTTAGAGTCTTTTGGGGCAGTGTAGCCAAAGCGCATCTATTAAGGGGGCAGATGTGAAGGTTATATTGATGTGAGCCCTAAGCAGTCTGTGTCGTGGCACCAAAACCAACCGAGTGTGGAGAGTTTATACCAGGGTGTGAATGTGAAGCATGAATGTGAAGCGGGCTCAGTCCAAGAGGACAGAGATCCACGGCCGTCCGACAGACTGAGCACCGATTCTGTGGGGCCTTTGCCACTGCCACCATTAACTGACCCGTACCACGAGCTGAAGGTTTTCAACCGCAAAGCATGCAAGCCGTATCCGACCCGTATCTTACTAGCAGGGCCGAAAGTGTGTCTGTACCGAGCTGGTTAGGTCACCACCACCTGATTGGTCAAAATACACGGGGACAAGAAATAACCAGCAGTCTGCCACCACATGCACGGGTCATGTGAAGGGGAAAGGCCATATTCTACGTATTATTCATTATTAGCAGTATCACACATTGCTATGTATTTATGCATTCCAGATAACTCGGAAATTTTCTGCTTAATAAAGTGCTATAGAAAGGCTGAATGGAATGCATTCGTAATGCCAATTTTCACAAGATAATGCTAACTCCACTAGCGTTCAATGCTAACACAACGGCGATTCTCACAGACGTGCTATAGCAGGTATTAGCACATAAATCATGCTGCACACTGTGTGAACAGTAAATAAGCATCTCTTCAGTTTTACATCACTGTCGCTCCCCAAACCCGGCAAGGCCTTTACCGGGCCGACCCCTCTGCAGTGGAAAACTGAAGTGAGTGGGAACTGCATTGTAACTACTGCCTCTTTGCAGTGCAGCTCGGTGTCACTAACAGCAGAGACACATGCAGACAGA